TTAATATTGAATTTGTTTGTAGCTATTAATCGAGAAATTTAATATTCACTTTATGATGCCGGATACAATATGAAAATTATAAAAGAAGGGGAAAGGGGAAAGAATAAGAGAAATGAGGGGGCAAACATGTCACGACCCAAAATTTAAAGAATTTGAAGCGTTACCAAAAACATTTATTTCTTAATTAAATAAATGATATCAAACATTCTATGGAAAACATAATTAACTGAACCATGTTTCAAACATTAAATTTCAAATTTAACATGAAGATAAAACTGAAATAACGCAAAGAAAAATAAATAAATAACACTTCCTAATCATGTTACTCAGAATTTATTTATCTTGAATTCCATAATTTCTGGCATCACAACTCCACCGCATCACCCGCCAACCAACGAACCGTTCTAATTTGTGAGGAGTAGGGAAAGGGGTGAGTACATGAAAATACTCAGTAGGATATATAAAAATTTATGGTGCGATCCCGTATAAACATTTTAAAACATGCATTAGAAAAATCATACCGTCTCATATCTTTAAAATCCGGTAAGAGCTCATATCATATTGTTGTACCGGAATGGCTATATCATTCACATTATAACATATCATATCATAACTTCAACTTTCATGAGTATAAAATTCATCAGCACGAAAAAAATATTTAAATGGGATATAAAAACACTGCACCTCGTAATCCTACCTTGTTGACTTGCTTAAATGTTTGGAAGGCAAAATAAGATTCACGTTCCAAAACTTTTCCAAATTCTCTAACTATAGACGTGAACAATTGTATTCCGCCTCGTACGTGCAAAATTAGTTCTGTATGTTCTGCCGTGTAATTGTATATATTCTGGGGAATTACTCCAATTTCTTGCTGTATGTATTTATCCTCAAAAATCTCACAGATTAAGTTGTTATGAAACTAACTTATCACAACCGTGTCCCACAATTTAGATAAGGATTGGGTAAAAGAGTTTCCGTGGGATTTGCAAATCTCAATAAAAAAAATTTAATAATCATAAAAGAAAGAATGAAAGAAAGAAAGACTAACTGTAGTTTTAATTAAATCACAAATCCTAATTAAATTAAAAGATTAGTTTATGTTTAATTACCCATACACGTGCCTACTGCCATATTTAAAATCAATAAACCACTTAATAAATTACAAAAAGAACATAAATCCTTAGAACTACAATATCTTGGGCTAACTCATTCCAAAATAATTTTTTTTTTCCTCGAGCCTAGTATACGTGATTACTTGCGAGCTATCCAACAAGTACAATATTGATATACTTATTGTCGCCCCGTCAACATCTACATTTTAACATCCAAAAATAATGAAGTTTACTTTATATATATTTTACTCCCTAAACTTCTAAAATATTAAAATATAGCAAGCATAAATTAAATTCTAATTTATGAAATTTTGGGACATTACAATCTCCCTTCCTTAAAATATTTTCGTCCTCGAAAATTTACGTTGGCTAATCGAAGAGCTCTGGATATTTGGTTCTAAGCTCTTCTTCCTTCTCCCATGTTGACTCTTCTCGTCCATGATTTCGCCATTGCACTTTGATCAGGGGAATTTCTCTGTTTCTGAGTTGGTGTACTTTTCTTTCCAGAATCATCATTGGAATTTCTTCATATGATAGATCTTTTTGTACCTCCAAAGTTTGGTAACTTACCACATGATTGGGATCATGAACATATTTTCTAAGCATCGAAACATGGAATACATTATGCACTGCTGCAAGTTCAAGTGGTAAGGCAAGTCAATGAGCTACAACACCAGTCCTTTCGAGAATCTCGAAAGGTCCAATAAATCGTGGTCTCAACTTCCCTTTCTTTCCAAATCTAAATAAACCCTTCATTGGTCCTACCTTTAGAAAAACCTTGTCGCCCACTTGAAATTCTAAATCCTTTCTTCTACTGTTAGCATAACTTTTCTGACGGTCTTGTGCTGCCTTTATTCTTGTTCTAATTTTATCAACTACCTCAACTGTTCGTTCAATGATTTCAGGACCCAAAATTTTGCTTTCCCCGACCTCGTCCCAATGGATAAGGGATCTGCACTTTCTACCATAAAGGGCTTCAATGGGGCCATACCTATAGTGGCTTGAAAACTATTGTTGTGAACAAACTCTACTAAAGGTAGGTGTATTTCCCAACTCCCTCCAAGATCCAGAATACATGCTCTCAACATATCTTCCAGAGTTTGAATGGTTCTTTCTGATTGTCTATCCGTCTGAGGATGATAAGCAGTGCTAAATTTCAGTTTCGTCGCCATGGCTGTCTGCAAGCTTTTCCAAAATTTTGATGTGAACCTCGGATCTCTATCTGAAACAATGGTGACTGGAATTCCATGCAATCTGACTATCTCTTTGATGTATAACTGTGCGAGCTGTTCCATATTGAAGTTTACTTTGATGGGTAGAAAATGGGCTGACTTTGTTAGACGATCCACCACTACCCAGATAGCATTGTGACTTTTTGCTGACCTTGGGAGGCCTACCACAAAGTCCATCGTTATGTGTTCCCACTTCCATTCTGGAATATCCAACGGTTTCAGTAGCCCTGATTGCCTTTGATGTTCTGCCTTGACCTGTTGATAGATAATACATTTTTCAACGAATAGACCAATTCCTCTCTTCATGTTTCTCTACCAAAATGTACCTCGGAGATCTCGATATATTTTCGTACCACCTGGATGTGCCGAATACGGAGTAGAGTGAGCCTCTTCCAATATCTCATTTCTTATACTTTCATCTTTAGGTACACACAACATTCCTTTAAAAGTCAATACTTTATCGTAGATACCTCAAATCCTATACGCTTGTTTGTACCAATCTCAGCTTTAATCTTCTGTTAAAACGGATCCTTATCCTGTGCTTCTTTAATTCGATCCCGAAGAGTGGGTTGAATCATAAATGCTCTTATTCTTGCTGTAGTCTGAGTTGGCGGTGTGATAACTTCCAATCTTAGTTTCTCAAAGTCCCTTATCAAGTGTTCTTGCACAGTAGGTAAAACTGCTAACTGCGCTCCCGTCTTTCTGCTTAAGGCATCTGCAACTACATTAGCCTTACCCGGATGGTAATGAATTGTGCAGCCATAATCTTTCACTAACTCCAACCATCTTCTCTGCCTCATATTCAGTTCCTTCTGTGTGAAAAAGTATTTGAGACTCTTGTGGTCTGTATAAATTTCACACTTCCCACCATAGAGATAATGACGCCATATCTTTAAGGCGTGAACTACTGCTGCAAGCTCCAAGTCGTGTGTTGGGTAGTTTTGTTCACACTGCTTCAACTGTCTCGAGGCGTAAGCAACTACTTTTCCATGTTGCATCAGTACACAGCCTAAACCTTGTTTGGAGGCATCGCTGTAAATCACAAATCCATCAGAGCCATCTGGTATCGTCAATACAGGAGCTGAAACTAGTCTCCGCTTGAGTTCTTGAAAACATTTCTCACATTTTTCTGTCCACTGGAACTTCACCCCCTTTCTCGTCAGCTGGGTCATCGGCCCTGCTATCTTTGAGAAGCCTTCAATGAATCTTCTATAATAACCAGCCAATCCCAAGAAACTGCGAACTTCACCCACACTGCTCAGCCTTGGCCAATTTGTTACTGCTTCTACTTTTGTAGGATCTACTTCGATTCCTTGGGTGGTGACCACATGACCAAGGAAACCTACACGATCAAGCCAAAATTCACACTTCTTGAATTTGGCATATAATTTCTCATTCCTCAAGGTTTCAAGTACTACTCGGAGTTGTTCCTCATGCTGTTTCTTGTCTTTGGAGTACACGAGTATGTCGTCAATAAATACTATGACGAATTGGTCTAAGTATTAATGAAATACTCTGTTCATGAGATCCATAAATACAGCTGGAGCATTGGTCAAACCAAAAGGCATGACAGTGAATTCATAGTGTCCATAACGAGTCCTGAAAGCAGTTTTTGGTATATCACTTGCCCTGATTTTCAGCTGATGGTACCCTGACCTCAAGTCGATCTTTGAAAACACTGTAGCACCCCTTAACTGGTCGAACAAATCTTCTATTCTTGACAGCGGGTACTTATTTTTTATGGTCAAATCGTTTAATTCCTGGTAGTCAATACACATCCTCATACTTCCATCCTTCTTCTTCACAAAAAGTACAGGAGCTCCCCAAGAAGATACACTTGGTCGAATGAAACCTTTCTCCAACAACTCTTCTAATTGTAACTTCAATTCTTGAAGTTCTTTCGGTGCCATTCTGAACGGGGCCTTAGATACTGGCGCTGCTCCAGGGATTAAATCAATTGTAAATTCCACTTGCCTACCTGGTGGAATGCCTAGTAAATCTTCTGGGAACACATCTGTAAAGTCTCGCACGATATTAATATCGTTAACAGTCGTTTCTGTAAGTTGAGAACCGATAATGTTAACTAAGAATCCCTGGCATGACTCCTTTCTTAACATCTTCTCCGCTTGTATAGCTGATATAAGACGAGGTAGGGACTTGAACTTTGCTCCAAAGAAACGAAATTCTTCCTCTCCCGGTTTGTGAAACAATACTTCTTTCTCATGACATCGAATGGTCGCATGATTAAGTCCCAACCAATCCATGCCCAAAATAACATCGAAATCTTTCATCTCCAAAAGGTATAAGTCTGCTTGTAATATTTTCCCATCAATCTCTAACTTCATAGCCTTAGTCATCAGATTTGTACAAAGACTTCTTCCTGAAGGGATGCTAACCTCTAATTCATAATTCGTTTTCACACATGCAAGGTTTTACCTAGCGACGAAGGATGTAGAGATAAAAGAATTGGTAGCCCCAGAATCAAAAAGTACGTAAGCGGGTACATCAGATAATAACAGAATACCTGTTTGTAATTATAGTGTTAGACTAGCAACTAAGGGACAGAGATAAAATAATGTATGGTCATAGGTAAAAAGAACATAAGCACGTATGTTGAAAATATTAATGGTAAGATACCTGCAATCACATTCGGATCCTACTCCGCCTCATGTTGATTCAGTGCAAAAACTCGAGCCTTTGCTTTCTTATTCTTGTCTTGATCATCATCTTTCTTCTTTGGAGGCTCTATGCAGTGGAGAGCAATGTGTCTGGGCTTACCACACCGAAAACACATGTTCTTCCCAAGTAAACATTCACCTCTGTGGAGTTTATTACACTTAGGACAGGGTGTAATACTCCCACTCGTCCCACCAATACGAACTCCTGTGCTTGGCCTTTTATTGTGCCAGTTATGTCTGTTCTTACTTTGATCACTCCACTTCCTTTTCCCCAACGACTCCTTGCTCTGCTGGGCATACTGTTCAAATGAGGTCCTCTGATATGAAATAGCATGAGCCCTCTCCAACATTTCACGATATGAGGTGAAACGATGGGACATAATGATCATGCCGATCTCAGGGCGCAGTCCATTCTCGAACCTCCTAATCTTCTTAACTTCTGTATCCATCAAGTGCGAGGCATACCTTGAGAGCTGCTCAAACTGTCTTTCATAATCAATAAGTGACATGTTTCCCTGTCTGAGCTGCTGAAATTCTGATTCCTTGAAGTCCCTCAAAGCCCGTGGGAAATATTTTGCCATCACTTCATCTTTAAACTGCTCCCAAGTCAGATTGCGTTGCTGCTCTTCCGTCCTTGTACGTGAAACAGATTCCCACCAGTGACCAGCTGTTCCAATCAACATAAATTCCGCGCATAATACTTTCTGTGCATCCGTACAAGCAATGTGTCGAAATATGCGCTCCAGGCCTCTTATCCACTCTTCGACAACTAGTGGTTCAGAATTACCGTCAAAAGTGGGAGGCTTGTACCTACGAAACTGCTCAACCACTGAGACAGCTCCAGGGGCAAAACGTGGTGCATTCTGCTGTGGCAGTACATTTTGTGGTTGTGGTGCTTGATTTTGCCTGCTCAACTCTTGTACTGCTCGTAGTAAATCGCGCATCAAATTCGTATGAGTAGGTGATGCCATTTCCTAAAATTTAATATGAAGTTACGATCACATTTCAGCACTAAGTCTATCACGTTATACTTATTTTTATCATAGTACATATCATCAATTTAGTGGGGAAATAAAGTGCATGTCTTAAAGATTTAGAAGTAGGCAATCTAAAATATTGAAATTATTGAAAACATCTAAGTGCATTCATTTTCTTACCCTTTTACATACCTTAGAGTCGTTGGAGGGTGGTTGATTGGTGGTCGTTGAGTGCCAAAGATCATTCATATATTTAATAACTTTAAATTATCATTATCGTTAAATTCATAAATTTTCATAAAAATATTAACATTTAACAAATTGCACAATGAAACAATTAAACATTTTATTACACGTAACATTTAAAACGTGTAAAATCCAATGTTTA